TCTAAATGCAAAATTATTCAATCAGCCAGAAATCTGGCCAAGGCTGCAGAAGACATATTTATTTTTCAGACCTAGCAATTCAGCCACCTTTGCAGCTGTCCATAAATGAGGACCAGACTTTACTATTCTGTGCTTTCACAAGGTATTGTTAGGTCAGCAAAGCCATCAATTAGGCTGTCTGAAGTTTTATCACCAGTGCAGGCAGCAGTAAGGGCAGGCAGAACCCCAGCTCTTCTGCCACTCCTGCAGTTTCAGCCAGTAAAGTCAAGGGTCATTTGGAGGTCAGTGCCAGCTGGGGGCAACCTTTCCAGCAAGAGTGGGGCACCCGGGACAGAGAGCATAGGGCACCTCCCAACCATAAACTCGAGCACCTTTCAACTTGACAGAAAGAGGGAGTTGCAGGTACATATGTTTAATATTAGTCTTGAAATAACCTCTTCTACAATCAGGTACCATAACTAAAGCAGCACTGAAGTCATCTGAACATCAGGCAAACCCATTATTTAGGAAGGGAAGCCTGGATTTAATTTTGGGGATAATTCAAAAATAAATGCTTGCATATTTCCCCATTAAGTTAATGCATAACAACCCACATCAGTTAATCTTGGTTTAAGTTAACCCTGAGACAATTATTCTTCACTTCCAAAAATAAATTGAGTAGGTTGCTTAATGCATTATTTGCAAGGTATATTTATTTTACTTTCTATTGTTTTTATGCATTTTCTTTGCCTTTTACAGCACTTTAATAATGATGTTCAACAAGTTTTTCTCCTCAAGACAATGAACACAGGCCCCAGTACTGCCAGTTTATTTTGACACTTATAAAATATATTCTACAAGTAAGTAAAAACTAAATAACTAAACAAATAATTTCTTAGCTTCTTCATCCCATATCCATTTGTACATTTTTTTGGTTTAAGATGTTCTCCTTCACTGGTTTGTGGGATAGGCCTACCAGATCTGGACTGCAAAACTCAGGATGACCATAAGATGGCATCTCTAGGGTTTGGCAGCCCTGATCTGACAGCTACATCTTGTATTCCACAAGAGATACCATTCTGGAGGATATGCCATATGCCTAATATATTGTATTTTCCAATATCACCATTTTATAAATACGAAAGTGAGATAGAGTTTTAACCCTATGCCTGAGAGCCAATTTTGTGCAGTGGTTAAAACACCAGGCTAGAAACTTTAAAACTGTGAGTTCTAGTCTCACCTTAGATACCAAGACAAAAGAAAAACCTTGGGCCAGCTACTCTGTCTCAGCCCAAAGAAAAAGACGATGGTAACTACTTCCAAACACCTTGCCAAGAAAATTGCAGGGGCTAGTCAACACTGACTCAAATGGACCAAAAAAAACCCAAAACACATCCCTAGCATTGCTTAAGGTAAAAAGATAATGAATCCAAGTCCCAAAATATTTTTTATTAAACACTAAACATAATTAATATGATTACAACATATAGTTCCTCTGTGTTATGTTACATTGTTATAATTATGTGGTCCTTAGAAAAAACTGCACCCAAGACCTTAGGATTGTTTCATATAGCCCTGTATCCTGTGGCAGTAAAATCCTACCCTTCAAGATACTGAGAATCAACTGTCTGAGGCATTCACCTCACTCTGTGTAATGGAAGGACTAATGTTAGTATTTTAAGCTTCATCCAGTATTAGAAATGCAAATAAGCATGAACTTTAGGGTCTGTGTAACCCACTGGTGAATACTAAACAGGTCCATTGTCTAACAGAACTTGGGTAAGAATTAGCGCATACCACACACAAGTTTACAGAAATGTTCAACAAGCTTTAAATAAGGCCAGCATTTAATACAGATAAATTCATTTATCAAATCAGTCTGCTTTAACATTAAGGACTTGGACTGCAAATACCATATTTCTTCCACAAGTTCAAATCCACTTTCCTGAAATATATGTAGTACATATTAAATATTAATATACACGCTCCCATAAATACAACCATTTATTATATTCCAAAATATATTAATCTACAATATTAAAGGGTCTTCTTCACTGGCCCTACTCTCAAGGTCTCCAAGTGAAACAGGACTGCTTCAATTCCAAACTTTCTGCAGCAAGGCTTGAAGAGGGCTTCTATCTTACTTGAATGAAAACAGAACTATTAGATAATTAGGAGCATTGATAAAGCAAGGATTTATCTAACTGCACATCTGCCCTATTGTCAGAATGAGTCAGCACACATTTCTAGAGAGATGCTGCCCTCTATTAATACCACATTTATCATCAAAGGGACCTCAGGGCCCTTTTTTTCTGCTCCACTTCTGAAGTATACTTTTTCATGCTTTATCACCTTGAGTGTCCCTGTCCATTTGGGATAAAGTACTTCAATTTCTTACAAGCTAACACCTGGAATTCATTAGCTACTTCACTGAGGCAAGGATGCTCTTCAAATTAGTCAGTGCTCATTATAGTCTCCAACATCTTTCAGATCTACCTTTAAAATGGCTGTAATAGTCCAAATGGCTATTACATTTGTTTTCTAAGTAGGAGGTTCCTAGTTTGAAATCCAGCTTTTTTATGTTATTGCTCCTCAAGCTTTGTTCTCTCTCTCTCTCTCTCTTTTAAAATATCTAGTGGTACATGTTTTCATCAATTTTCTATGTAACAGAAGTAAAAGTGTTTCATACCACTCCCATATAGCTCCTAGATTATTGGGGCTCTTTAGGAATTGAGAGTGATAAATTTCTATCTTGAATTATTAAAAAAGAATTTGAAATGATACACTGCTGGACTTATTTCTTTTAAAAAAGCATGTAATAAATAAACCCAGGAAAGAAAAAAAAAAAAGGCTAATTCCACATATTTCTGCTTGGGTATGAACCAAAACATTTTTATTTGCCAGGCAAGGGTTTTAACCATTGTGCTATTATAACACTGTTGGTGTACAGTTGCCCTAAAAGATAATAGAAAGGAAAAGGGCAGTAGCAATGTTGTTGTTGGATATTTTGGTATTTTATCTTTGTATATATAAATTCTATTTAACTTTTTATAGGTATGTATGCATATATCTACATATTATATATGTAGATACACAAACACGCATGTAAAATAATCTGTCCATCTATCTCTACCCATGGAAAGGAAAATGAGGGCAATTGCTTTCCTGAAATAGAAAGGAGAACTATCTATGGAAGCCTGATGTGGTAACCTGCTGACTGGACTGAATACCTTGGAAGTTGTTGCCAAAGTGTCTCAGTCAGGACAGGATTTTCTTAGGGTGGTTTATAGACAAGCTGGAAGGAGCACAGAACAGGATCAGCTTTAAGTCTGGGTATACCTTAAGATTTCCAATCACAATTAAAAGTTATACCCATATTCAAGTTTATGGAAGCAGAATTCCCCTTCAGCCTTGTTGTTCAATCTAGAAGGAATATGAACAGAAAAACTGAGTCAGGGCAGTGCATACAACTCTACCTCTTGGTTGAAGAAGATTTTCAGTCATCAGGTAGCCCTGTCTGGAAGTTGAGTCATGGCAACTGGACTTCTTTCTTTTTGGTTCAAAACATTTTGCTGCTTATCTAAGACTGAAGAAGCTACTTGTATAAGTAGTTGCCATGATTCAACTTCCAGACAACTCTACCTCTTCTATGTGTTTGTATATGACAGCTGGGACATGATATGGAAAAGGTAAACATCCTCTACCTCAATTGTGGGAAAAATATTATAATTAGTCAAAGGGAATTTTCCATGAATAAAGTCTGCTTTTATAGTTCATTTTTATAGAGAATAATTCTGCCAATCTAGTTAAACAAAATATTCTGACTTCCATATTTCTATATTGCTTCAAAACAAAAACCTTTGCTACTATTTTCCTTAGCTCCTTTCCAATAAGTTGCCACACTGACCAAATTGAAATTGACCTGAGCTTTTGCATCCAGCATGCCTTTTATCAGCTGAACTTAATGCCAAGAGATTAGCAGAAAAGCCTGATAAGACTGTTTTCTTTTCAATGAGCTTTTAATGATGTATGCAGATGGCAAGATTTACAGAACTAAAGAAGAGCATACTGTACTGGGACTGGTAACACACAACAGACTCTCCTCTACTTTAGAGCCTTGCCAATCTTTGCTTCTTCAACTTTCATTCATAAGGTAATTCATAAGGTAAAGTAAATTGTTTTTTCAGTTTTTATTTCATTTCCAACCATTTTTAAAATTTATATCTGGTGGTCCTCTTGTTTATGTCCCCTTCCACTTCCTTGCAACTCTCTCTTACTCACAGAACTGCAATGCATTATGGTTCTTCATTCTCAGTAAGAGAACACTACTCTGTCTTCAAACAAATAATTAAGGGGAAGGTTAAAGGAGGTTACACAGAGGTCATATCTTTAGAAACTGGTCAGAGTGTATACATTAATTTAAAAAGGCAACCTCCCAAGTTTCTCCCCCTCCCCCCTTTAAAAAAGGGCATTTACACAATACAGAACACTGAGGCAATTCATAATCCTTTCACCAAAGAGATACAGAGCTGGCTTTTATGAACATTTACAATTAATAAGCCTATTCTCACTTTAATATTAACAAACGGAACAGGTCATGGTGAAATGAAAATTAAGGGAAAGTTTCTGAATCTAGTTAATGCATGTGTACCTAACATACATAAAATCTGTATATACTTGAATGTATCAAGTTATTTGTCTATAAGCTTAGAAATCTAGCACAAGATGTATCTCTCTGTGAGCTGTTAATTGATTCTACAGATATTTTGTGAGGAAACAATAGAAGCCCTAGGTCAGTGGTT